CTGCCTTATGGCAAAAGCGCAGATGTTGTATTACCACGCAAGGACGGCGAAGATGTTCAAAATGAAAATTATGAGAGACGTTTTAGAGCAGGCTGTTAGGCTGTTTCCAAATAACACTGTTTTCATGGGATTGTATGCCTGGAATGAAGGAAAGACAAAAATCGAGAATAGGGTCAGGACTTTGGTGAGGGACGTAGTACTAAAGGAAGGAAGGGAAACAGTTTTGGGGTGGGTTTTTGCTATCTGGGCGGAGTTGAGAATGACGGGAATTGGCGGGGGATATAGCCCACATGCAGTAAGATCATTATTCGAGCAGGCAGTAGAGTGTAATCGGTATGTTTTTCGGTAGGCCCCGCATATATTTTTGCAGCAGACTAATTAGCATTTGGGCAGAACTAAATCTAATATCGGGCTATGGATAACCTATGTAAACTTCGAACTGAGAGAGAAAGAGCCAAAGAGAGCCAAGGAAACGCTGTTCAGGGGGATACAATGCTGCCCATGGTCAAAAAGTTAGTGATAAGAATCCTATAGTACCTTGAAGTACCATGCTAATAAAATCGTAGATTTGGTGCTCTTAGCATTCAAAAAGTTACGCCCGGTACTAGGGTTTGAAGAAATGCGGAAGATTTTGTCTATCATTTCGTCAGAAAAGGAGTTGAGGGTGCATGATGTAACAGAATTAGAGGATATAATCGGGGAGATGAGCGAAGCTCAACGGGAGCGACTTGGAGGAATGGGGAGACCGCACTTTCTCGGTATACCTGATGATATTTCTGAGGATGAGCATATGCAGGAAGATTGATAAATGAGTTGTTGATTAAATACATTAGATACATTTTCTAAAATAGCTCTGAGCTTGATTCTACGAATTTTCTCAATGCATGTGAACCCATGTATGCAATAAAGCCTCGCCAGTTTATAACCAAACTCTACAGCCTCTAACTGATAGAAATGCCGAAAAGAGAAAATCTGGGACCTGACCAAACTGGTCCTCCGATAACCAGGAAAATTTAGAGTTGAGCGGTTGTGTAGTTCGATGGAATAAGGATTCAGCTGTACGGACGGTTTTACTAAATCGACACCCATTTAAGATCGCCACTAAATTCATTTACTACGGTGCGATACTGAAATGCAGTATGTACATATATATATATATAAAACTCGTTCAGATAGCGTTTACTCATAGCGGTAATCTTCTACAACCTCAACCAATCCAAACTCTCAACCACAACCACGACCCACAACCTCGCAACCTCACAACTCCACAACCCCACAACCCCACAACCCCACAGCCCCACAACCCCACAACCTCATAACCTCACAACAACCTCACAACCTCACAACCTCACAACCTCACGGCCTCACGGCCTTACGGCCTTACGGCCTCACAACATCACAACCCCACTTCCCCTTCTCATACAACACCCATCGTCTCTCCCTTAAAAAACATAGGGTGAGAGTTCACGCACACCTAAGCTGCCACACTCTCTTGTTTTAATCAGCAAACCTTTAACCGATGGCCGAAATGACCACAGAACCGGACCCTATGGCCATGGTCACAACTGAGATTTGTGTTTCGCTCGAAAGATATCCAGATGCGGCAGCAGATAGAATTGATCTTTGTGATGAATACTTGACGAAGTAAGAGATGTTATCTATTTTATCAAAGCCTCTGATGGAACAACTACTAACTCTTCTATTTATGTTAGAATCGGGACCGAAACAAACACTCGTATCGAGTGTGACAAGAAGGGAAATGCCCTCTTCGTCCGTGGCGGGCCTAAGAACGTCAAAAAGGCGTATGTTGAGCTCCACGAGCTGTTGAAGCGTCTCAGTATTTCCAACACGGATACTCCCATCGTTGATGAAGTCGCCGAAGAAGAAGTAAAGCTTCTGGGGAAAGAATTCCTCAATGGCGTCGTTTTTCGCAAATTCAATGACGGAAGCATCTTGCAGGAGGACACTTCCAACACCTATGTCCTAGATCCAATTCATACGAATAAGTTTGAGAATGGAAATGACAGGATCTGTGTTAGCGGCATGTGGGATATGAAAAAATTTGTTGAATGGAAGTTTATTCCTGAAGTAATTCGTGAAGCTAGTAAAGTTTTGATGGCCCAAATAAGGCGATTACCACTAGAAACAGAGGATTATTTCAAGCTGGAGGTATCAATTACTCATATGTCCATAAAAAGGTGTTTATATACTTACAAACTTGTATAGGCGAGTATCGGGAAAGTGATCTTTTACGAAAACTCCAACAATTATCCACTCGATGGTGCAAAATTCGCCGTCAAAGATTTCTGTCACCTCAGAGAAACTGTATCTTCTTTTCGCAAATGTCTGGATGCATGCCTCATCGAGCACTTGGGGGACGTTCTACCAAAGCTCAGATATAATAGAGAAGGAAACACTTTCAAAACCGTCAAGATCCGACACATTGTGGGACATAAAGATGGGAATACTTATGCGAATGTCTGGTCGCTTGATATACTTGAGAGAGGGAAATATGCTGATAGTAAGTCTCCTTCACTAATCTCGAGGTGGAAGTTGCTGATAATATTAGAAAAATCGAGGCCGCTTGAGCTCAACAAAGTACGCGTGTTTAAAAGGAGTCCATTCTCGGCCACTATTCACAACCCAGCCAAGGCATTTGATTTCAAACTTTCAATCATTGCTAACGCCCGCGAATGTACGGCGAGCACACACGAAATTGAAGAACGCATTAGTCGAACCTACAGATATTCAATCAAAAGAGGCCTTTTAGTCAATTCTGAGGTTGCACGTAACCACGGATATAAGCCTTTGGTCCTTGCAGAGTCTAGAATTTTCAAGGAAACCACCTGGATCCGTGGGAACATCAAGGTTTCTATCCTTGAAGTGGAAGATGGACCTGAAAGCGTGTTTGAGGTCAAAGTACAAAATAACCAATTGAAAGAGTACTTACGCGAAAGTCCTAGGGAGGTTCCATTGGACTATGTCATTGCAACGGTGAAGGAACTTTTTGAGGCTATAGAAGAAATTAGGGACGAACTCAATATTTTCTCTAGTTCAAAATATCCAGGGGGTTCTTTGCTTAAACTGGGTCAAAAATCAGAGGATAGATCTAGATATTCTGCAAGGGAAGCAGGAAGTACATTTTCTGATGTTGACGTCGAGAATGAGTTGCGAAATGCATCTCTAGTTCATCGAGTTAAACACATAACTGAGAATATTCCTGATATAATTCCACCCCAAAGGCTTAATCACAGCTCCCAGCGAACTTCACCTCGGAACTCGTCATTTTGCGACTCTCCAAGCTTGGGCACTGTAAAGTCATACGCTACTTGGGAGGAGGGCCTTATTGAGGACGGGTCTGGTTTGAAAAACCTAGTTCTTACGCCCACTAAGATTCATTCTCAGATATACCCATCAACTCACGATAAATCATCTCCGGCAGCGCCCGAACCCCTCGGTGAATATGACGATACGACTGGTCCCAGCCCAGTGCCGGTGAAATCCGCCAGGAGAAATGCAATTTCTAAAGCACAAACCCGTGATTTGTCTCCATATGATATAAACTGTGCCATGGAATCATCAGAGAAACCAGCTTCATATCGAGGTAATCCATCTTCTACCAGACCAGCCAATCTATCACAAAAGCTTCCTGGTGTCTTATTTGACATGCCCGATGCTGGGGTTAGTGGGAGTCCCCCTCAAGATGTCAATTATTCGTCAACGCATGATATGATAGACCCATCCGGCACGGAGAAAATTGACTTTTTCGGGAGCATCGACCCCTCAGCCGACGATGGCGAACAATCGGTTTCATGGAGCCCAATCAGCAGATATCACAATCACGATGAATGCGAGGACCTACTTATTTTTAGTTAGGATGTATGGCTATGTCATTGGTCGTCAAGAAGGGAGTGATAGTATCCTATTTTCCTAAAAGAGAAAAAAAACCCTTTTAGTGTGGGTAGAATTTAACATAGTTCTACACAAGGCTTTGCAGCAGAGGCGACTTAGAAATCTTTTGTCAAGACCCTTTATTTATTCATCAAAGATGTATCATTAACAACACCACTTCGCCTGTCCCACTGTGCATTAAAGTGGAGGAGGAGAAATACGTCAACTAAATTCACGTTTACGGTCCTTCTATGAATGCATTTAGAATAGATGCGGGGAAACATGGACAAATCATACAATACTACCGATAAGCCAAAAATATAGGCCTCGCCCAAATATTAAATGAGTCTAACATGCGTCCGCAAGATTATATTACAAGGACCCTTTCCCCAGATCAGGCTCTCATTCTAGATAGAAACTTAAGGTCCGTGCAAATATAACATTTACTTTTGAATAGGGGCTTATTTACCGTAAGTACATACATGTAATTTGTTATAGTATCCCTTGGACGGATGAAAGTTGTCAAATTCGCGACCTGGGCCGTGCACCACTTAGTAGGGCAATTGTCTTGCTTTTTACGGTTGGCAACAACAGCAGAGCCAATCAAGAATTTACAATAGTTACTATAGTAGGCTAGTGAGAGCTGAAAGAGGTACATATATGCAAGTAGGTCGCGAATTTGACAAGATTCATCCGTCCAGGGGATACACGAATGAATTATTAACCAATTAATCGAACAGTTAAGGACGAGTGATACTTTGTGACGCGTTGCGATAAAATAAGAGGTCAGATGTGAATCATGTGATAGCGGGGAACTTGTTTAGCTTCAAGCTTTATCCTTTAATTTACTCTTGGCACTCTTGTAAATCAAGCCAATCCAATCACCAGTAGATATAGTCACGTGATCAGAGAACTTTGACATCGCGACCCGTAAAGTGTAGCACTTCAGCCCATCCCTAAGCATCAGGAGTATCACTACACAACTTTATAATCAGGCTTAGAAGTTCATGAGAAGATTGCATATCTCTAACTCACATCCCCCAAAGAGTCTCTTGATCCAATAGTTAAAACCTCAAACCACGTCCCTAGCGACTACTCGCGCCGAATAAATGCACGAAATCATCACCCTACAACTAGGGCACCAAGCTAACTACTTAGGAACCCACTTCTGGAACACTCAAGTAAGCCAAGCTCCTGGGACAATTGAATAACCTGGTAGCTGACTCAAACATCCTCTAGGAATCATATTTCACATACACTGAAGATGCAACTCCCAGTCCCATTGATCACGACGTACACTTTCGCCCGGGTATCGGAGTCGGTGGGGTGGAAACATATACACCAAGGGCCCTGATTTACGATCTAAAGGGTATCTAGTCACAAGAAGGATATTGGAATTATCTATCATGATTTAGTTCTCGCTGACTTTTTCTGGTGGAACAGGAGGATTTGGGTCCATGCGAAGGATAAATGCTCTTTATGATCAAATGGAGGAAACTGCAGGGGGAATCCCTCAGGGACTATGGTGGGGATACGTATCAGTCTGATTTTATGAAACGGGTCTCGAGTGCTAAGACTTACTTGCGTGAACTAGGGATCGTGGGACCACTATACAAAGAGAGACCCCCATCGAACCAATTGAATACCAGAGAAACCTCGAAGCTGTGAGCATCTAAATCTTGCTCTCCGAAAGCCCCCACATGTATTCACAATTGCGAGATGTTACGTTTAGGGACTTCCGGTTCCCGAGCTAGACACGCCATCAATCCGCTACTGGAGTGACTTTAATAGAGTATATTACCACCCACGATCATCTATTCAAATCAATGAGTATGAGCTCGATTCAAAGGTTGTACCTTTCAACGGATTCGGCCTAGGAAAGGCTCTTTTCCATGATTTGCACATGGAGCATGACTTGATCGATAGGGACTTCAGGTTATTTGCAGAGGAGTGCGACCAAATGCAGGGCATACAAATCATGACTTCTACCGATGATGCTTGGGGTGGATTTGCCTCAGAATATGTTGCTGCTCTAAGAGACGAGTACTCCAAAGCCTCCATAGTGACTTGGGGATTGGAAGGTAGAGATAAGGTTCCCAGGGTGAGTTTGCTATCGTTTTTTTATCTGAGATTCGCATGGAAGTTTATACTAGAACGAGCACCTCGTATTCCAAGATTAAGCCAGTCAAGACTGATCGTAAATAGGAACAAGAGATCAAGCGAACAGTTGATCTCGCGTACTCTCTATCAGGGATAGTCCCTCTGACATCTCTTTATATCCCTCTTCGAAGCCCTCCCCCCCACATTCCACCTTATCTCACAATGGACAATTCCTCAAAATGGCATGTGAGCGGGTTATTATCAGTAGCACTTGAGACCTGCATTTTACCTACTCGTATTCGGGATAGCGATAGCTCTGGTAGATTGGGGAGTTTGGGTGATATGGCTGCTCTACTCAATGTCAGCGGGAGTCAGAAGATTGCCAACCTTACCATGTCTATCCACAATATGGAAGAGAAAAAATCGGACGGTACACCGTTGCCACCAGCATCCAGCTCGCTGCGGGACTCGGCATCCAAGATTGAACTCTCTTGGGATTCGAGTAACACTAGGATTAGAGGGAAAAAAATCGATGATGGACACGTCTTTGCAGAAGCGGAAGTTATGAGAGGATTCAATGAGAAGCAGGTTATGGAAGAGACGGCAGCTGCTTCTCGGACAGTTGGATTGGCACATGATCGGCGTGACGCTATTCTCGGAAGGTAAGATTCTTTTTCTTTTGATTTCGCTGCCTTCATAGCTTCCTCCGGGTGTTTCTCGCCCTTTTTTGTTCACAACGCCGAAAAAGCCACAAGTTCTTTCTTCCCCCAGCCACTGAGAGGCTTGGTTTTCCAGCCTTCAATTTTTATTTTTAATGTTTCTTTGTCATATCTTCTTGCCCCGTAATGCCATAGAATGGGGCGGCGGGCGTTGTGTTCAGGCTACATCAGCTCAGCAACGTGCATCAGCACACAAGCACTACCTATCTAGCCCTACAGCAGCGTTGCTTCCTTTTTCCAGTTCCTTCCAGGATTATTTACACCCCGCACTGTATAATGCAACCTCTCCTCATCAATCACTAATGGTTATATAGTTATCTCACGCAGTTTACATACCCAATAATCGACAGTTTCCCCGCCATCTTTTCTTCGCGTGTCCTTGACAGCTCAGTCCTTGACAGGCCTTGCGTCGGCAGGATTAGCACTAAACTCACAACATCATCTAAAACAATCTCGCGATTGAAGAATGTCAAAGATCTCGTATCACAAGTAGTTAGTGTTGATGAAAGAGAAGCTCTTTTAAACGATTTAGGGGAATTTGCGGAAGCTTATGAGGAGGGATACAACAGTGGGTCTGACGATGACGACGATTAGTTATAGTCCCTGTACAACAATTTAAATTTCTTAGGGAAGTTCGGCTATGTGATAAAAGCTTGTGTAGAGTTGCTAAAACCTATATATAGCATCCACCCCCACGATGCAGGCCCTCTAAACTCCTCTGTACTCAGTAGGAAGCATACTAATCATTATTGTTGTCCCTCATGACATGTATTTCAGCCTAGAATGATTGAATCCAATAAAGTAAAAAAATTCGCCGTTTGTGTTGTCTCAGAAATCAGCCAGAATTTAAGCCGCGAAATAACAATACATAGGTACCAGTCAGATACCATTGGGTAATGGGGTGAGATTTTCTTTTGTTACACCGTAAGGTTCAGAGACAATTAAGCGGATGAGAACGACTTTTCGGAATGATAAGAAGAAACCTGTTCCCAGAGCGGAGAATGTTGACTAGCATCTTCCCATGTTGCTATGAAGCTTGTAAGATCTTTACCCACTTTGGGAATTCTACCCAACGAAGGGCAAACCACTCTACATACCTACCTAAAGTGCGGTTATCCGTTTCCTCGAGCCAGTGAGAAGAGATAGAAACATCGCCAATCGGGCGTTGACTGCAGGTCTCAACTGGAGAGTATGTTCCGCCCTGTGCCTCCCTCGCTTGATCCATTTCTTTTTTTAGGACAGTATATTTCTTTTCCAGAATCATGGAACCCTGCAACCAATGACGCTGATTACCATGCCCACCAAAAGATGTAAGTAAACCGTCCCCATATCCATGTCATGCACGTCGATCGGGAAGGGAAGAAAAATCGATTTCGGGCTACCATTGCATCCGGCCCGGCACTGAGACACCTGGAGGACGCCGCCGCCCATGCCACAAACAAAAAACCCTCATCGATCAATGGGCTTTGAACTATTTACAGATTGTCTATTCAGTAGGGAATTTGAAAATTTTGACGAGCGGATGAGAAAGTGCAATGTGTACTGTAGTAAGTAGTTTCACTTTTGGAGCTCTTTTAGGACAGGGCTGATCGATATACATATGTATATACATACCATTCCAGCACTTTTTCGAACCTACAAAATATATTTTTCTCCTTTAAGCCCTGTCAGCACAGATGAGCTGGCAACTACTCTAAGTGCTCAGCCTGGGCCACCCCAGCCACTTTGGGGTTTTTTCCACTGGGTAAGTCCTTAGTTCATGATCAAGACGAATGAGCGTTCAATGCCATCATACCACGCATTTTCGTGAATTCAGTCAAGCCCATGCATGTATTTTGTTATTGGCACTCTTATCAGGATCGTAAGTCGATCATTCCTCCCTGCCTAATTCGGATGGGATATTGCTTCTTTGCTTTTCTTCATCTGACGTTGGGTTACTTAGTTCTAGTATGGTTGCCTGTCAATTGGTAGTTCCGGGCCTACATGTGGTTAAAAACGCCGAGCAGATTGAGTATAGTACCTTACTCTACTCGTATCCATCTATGTGTGATATATGTATTATATTTACATGTCAGCCGCCAAAAAAGGCTTAGGCTTTCTGTGCAACATTACTACATCATATCACGGCTGTAAAGATATGGAATCGCATAGCAAATCTGAGTGGGTACAAGTCACCATGTAATGATTGTCACACCGGAGCCCACCTGTGTGCGTAGTTACTTGGTGCTTATCCTCCAAATCAGGTGTCTACAGGCTTAGACTCCTAGTCACTCGATATCTGTCTATGCATCATATTTCTACTCATGATTGTATAAAGAACCTGTGACCCCGCGGTCATATTTCTCATTTATCATCTCTTCCCTATCGTTTGTCGTCAAGTCATTCGCTTTCGAAAAGTATCTTTCTACACAAACACTCGCTTTTGTGTTGATTGATATCTCTCTCGCTATTTACTTAGTCCGACTTGCATCGTTAGTCGAGTCGAGGAAGAAAAAGCATTTACTTCAATTTCAATTGAGAACGGAAGGATATATTGAATCAAACAAAAATGGTTAACTCAGTTCGTATTATCAGTCTGCTCGCCCTCGCAGCAGTTGGGGCGATTGCAGGAGATCACGGCGGAAATGGAGGTGGTGGAGGTGGTGGAGGTGGAGGTTGGGACCATGAACATTATTCAACCCCAGATTATGAAATTAGTACTTCGACTCCCTGCACGACTACTACCAGCTCTACTTATTATCCACCATCTTCGACCTCAACTTCGTGTACCACTTCTACGAGCTCGACCTATTATCCTCCTCCACCTCCGTCCTCCTGGTCCTCCTCCACTTCGATTTACACGCACACTCCGCCTTCGTCGACTTCAACCTCCTGCTCTACGTCAACTTCTATCTATACACCACCCCCACCACCTCCGTCCTCATCGTCGTCCTCCACTTCGATTTACACGCCTCCTCCTCCACCTCCGTCTTCGTCGACTTCAACCTCTTGCACTACATCAACTTCAATCTATACACCACCCCCACCACCCCCACCACCCCCGAGTTCGTCGTCGAGCTCTTCACTGAGTTCTTCGTCTTCGCACTCTCATCCTTCTCTTCCTCCCACAACCTCAACCTCATGCACTACCAGTACTACTAGTACCACACCTCCACCGTCCTCGACTTCGACGTCGTGCACAACGTCGACTACGTCTTCTTCGTCGTCTACGACCTCAATCTATACACCGCCTCCGCCGCCCCCGACTTCAACTTCATGTACGACGAGCTCCACAACTACTCCACCGCCGCCGCCGTCCACATATTCTCACCCGCCTCCTCCGACGTGGAACACAACATCTCACTCGCACCCTCCACCGCCTCCTCCATCGTCAACTCCGTGTACCACTAGCTCGACTACAACACTTCCTCCGCCTCCTCCCCCACCATCATCGACTCCGTGCACCACTAGCTCGACTACAACGCTTCCTCCGCCTCCTCCACCACCATCGTCAACCTCATGGACGACGAGCTCTACGAGTCTTCCACCGCCACCGCCGCCCCCGACTTCAACTTCATGTACGACGAGCTCCACAACTGTCCCACCGCCGCCGCCGCCGTCCACCCATTCTCACTCGCCTCCTCCGGCATGGAACACCACATCTCACTCGCACCCTCCCCCACCCCCGACGTCAACCCCTTGCACTACCAGCTCGACAACTGTTCCCCCCCCATCAACTTCTACTCCATGTACTACCTCAACTCCCGTCACTTCAAAGACGACTATCACCTACACTACCATTTCGACACTCACGACATGCATCCCGGTCACTAAGACATACACCACCGGAAGCAGCACCTACACTACTGTCACATCAATCACCAAGACGCTCACCAACACCATAACCTCAGTCTCATGCCCACCCACAGCTACTCCTCCGGCACTCACCACTACAATCTGGGTTCCTCCTCCGTACACGCATACCACTGACATCAGCACTTTCACGACAACAACTTACATCGTGACTAAGCCGTGTGCTGCTTGTGCTCCGGAGACGAGCTACTATACCACCACAACTTGTGTCACAAACACCCCGGTGCCGCCAACTTACACTGTGCCCACTGTTGTGACTAGCAGTGTTACGGTGATTGTTCCTCCAGCAGTGTCTACCAGCGTCACAGTTGGTGTCCCCCCAGCGTCAAGTACTGTAGTAACAGTCTCTACCCCTTCAACCAATGTGACTGTTCCTACTGCTCCAGCTACTACTCCTTCTACGTAAGTTCACTACCCTTTTGTCAAATTTTCATTGACATCAATAACGCTAACAACTATATCTAGTACTGCACCACCACTTTCTACTGGTGCTGCGGGTATTAATAGGCCCAACATGATTGGCTTCGTCGCCGTCGTTGCTGGTCTGATCGTTCTTGCTTAATCGGTTTAATGTAGTTTTTATCGTTTCTTTCTTATATTATATCGTCATGTCATTCCTTTGTTTTTATAATTATGACTACTACGGAGCTTTGGGGATATGGGATCATTCATTTAGGTTTGCGGGGTACGGACTGGGTTACTTATATATGGCTTATGCATTTATACGATACATTCTTTTAGTGATAGTTAATAAATACTTGTCAGCGGAAAATTCTTTTGTGAGACTTCCTCACTATGGTTCTATGCCCCTTATTAATGATCATGTGAAACAATTACTAGTTAACCCCTGAGACTATCAAGCTCAAAATGAAAGGAGCTCTGAAATTTTGCGTTCTAAACAAGTGACAACTACATGTAGGTATTAGTATCAAAATTAGGCTATAACTATACGTTATCTAAATCCGGCAGTGATCGTTTTAAACCTTCCGTCGGGTGGTGAACTTAGTTCTCACCCTTATTACAGTAATGATCGCATACATACTTCAACACATGTCATCTCTAAGCAGTTGATCTTGTCTTAAGAATAGTACTGCTTATATCAAGCTTTTGATTCGTATATTTTCTTTCTTTAGGGATGTCGTCCAATTGAGGTGGTGATACATGCTAAAGTTGCAGTACAACATGTCGTGGATATGGCTTAAAGATAATATCTATAACTCACCTTGTTCATGTCTTGCCCGAAGAGGTCACCGGTTTGATCCATCACCGGGAGGGAAAATGTATGGTTTCATTACAGGAACTCATCACGTAAGTATTTTGTTGCGGAGTATACCTACTCCTGGCGATCCGTACTCTAATAGCTAAGATACCGCAAGACAACTCACGAATCTCAAGGCTCGGGGCCTACATCAATAAGCTCCAGTGACGTCCAACAGAGCCAGTGATAGTTCAGACAAAAACTCTTGGCACCGGTAACTCCCAGTTTAAGATGAAGATGCATCCACTCCATCCCTTCGTTTTCAGGACCGGACGCTAAGAGGAGGATTTAACTCAGTCAGGCAGATTTTCTTGCAAATCCTACTCAAATATCCCTAACCCTAGATTATTGGTGGCGAAAGTCACGTCTGTCACCCTCCTTCAGTAGATTCTTTCTCTTTTGGAACAGATTCTACTTCTTTTGGCAGCGTTACAGCCCCAATAACAGCTAGCCTGTTGGATATCTCTACGCTAATAAGCCGTGAATTGCGGGAACAGACGAAGGGGTCAGGAACAAAAACCAAAGTGAAAATCGAAAAAGCAACTTGAGACGAAAGGCTCTTCATCCTGTACAACGCAAACATGATATTCCGGATTGGCTGTCTCACGCGGGAGATGTAGATATGGATACCCGCATTGATTGCGAAAATAATAACTCTTGCAGAGAGTTAGGACTGAATCTCACACCTGACTGTTACATACTAGTGTATGTATATACTCCTGGAGGGAAGATTGAAATGAAGATCAATAAGAAAATAAGCAACTCGCGATGAAATGTCATAGCCTTGATGTAGTTGTGCTTGTCTATCGAGACCGTACATCGAGTGATAACCTATGAGCTCCAACCTCAACTCCTCGGACGAAACCATCATTCACCAAACTCCCGACCCCGGCACCTCGGATCAAGCACCCATCCACCCACCAAGTCGCCAGGAACAAGAATTGCGAGACTGTCTCTACCCTCGGAGAAGGTTTATGCGTGGTTAGATAATATATGTAGTGTGGGCGCGCTAATACTATGCAAGTACCCTTCAGATACATAGTCTTTCTTAGTAGTTCTTTGCTATACTTTTCCTATGGCTTGTGGAGTGGGGTTTCAGTGCGGTATCTCCGAGCATTTGCCTATCTAAGGGGGTGATAATCATCCGAGTGACCATTCTGAGATTGATATTCACAGCCTATTTGATAGTCAGCAGTAGCAATGTGCTTTCCCGTACATGAAGCATCAACAAACACTTCAATTGATGTGTCACAAATGTCAATCCCAGCTCTATGGATATCAATTGGAATCTCGGGTACCGATATACCTATATTCTTAACACAGTTTTGTAGTGCGACTTCAATTCTCAATTTTCCTCGACCTCGAAGCACTTTCGTCATATCTGTGATTTAGGCTTCGCGGAAACTTATTGAGCATATGCAGCCCCTCGCACCCTATACTATGGCACTGGTACAATTGCATGTACATATTAACCGGAGGATTTAGGGCATCGTGCAGTCAATCTCTTCGAGGAACACGCCACCTACCCACCTTATTATCTCTGTGCGCAGAGTACTCCCAGATCGTTAGCAAATAAGTACGTAGAACATACTTCATCGATATCCGGGACCCCAGGCACTCTAATAATACCCACAGCACATCATGCGGGGAAATGTGAATGCAATTGCAATATACCCCGGTTGATGGTGTCCAGAACACAACTTCGATGTCAATCAATATCAACGACCTACCTAATCAAGCCAGTACCGCCGATAGGCGGAAGGAGGATAATAAGCTTTGGCTTTTTCTTCACCCCGAATCGCTCCGCGGGAAGCCTCCCGACATAGACGAGACCTGCCCTCCAACGTGGTGTAACCTGCTGCGATCAGGCTTTAGAAAGCAGAGTCAAAATTGATATGCGTCATATTACTAAAGATTAAAGATGTAGAGGAAAGGTGGTGGGAGATCGAGCGAGTGATGTCTTATGGATAAACCCTCACTCGATAAAAGATTCCGTACCAATGACCGCAGGCAATAATGGAATTAACTAAGCATGCGCTCGTGAGATGTAGAGTGGTATGCCAGTGATGATGTAAAAAAATATGAATATAGTTGTTGAATATACGGCCTTGATTTTTCGCTTTCCCTAAAAATGTAATCACCACACGCCTGGGTGACCATGGTGGTAAAAGTTCAAAATAAACATGCTCCAGTAGAGATTTGAACTCCAGATCTTCGCATTACAAGTGCGACGCCTTACCCCTTGGCCACAAGAGCTTGACGTGACAACGCGTGGTTAACAGCATAATAAACCATTTATTAGTGGTGTCTCATATCCTGGTTCCTGCCAAGGCTTCTGTTTGCCGAGGCACGCACGAAGCTTAGACCTGAGCATGATGCCAGTATTAGATACTGAGCGTTACACGAGTATCCAATGGAATTGTAGGTATTTGGATGCTGAGAATTCTAGAAAGAATACCCGCAATCTTTTAGAAATTACAGGCACGGATCTCCCTTAACCTGGTAGGTCTTGAATATTTTATATCGGTATGTAGGGTTCATTTTCCAATTATTGAACTAGCGGTTTGTCTAAAAGGCATTGAACCAGATGACAGCAGTAAGTAGTGGTGATGATCATCGGCTGCAGAGTTTTAAAGAGGCTCGTGAATTTTTTTTCCCATTCACTCACAATCACTCGCCCCAAATTTGGCTCCCGGGGTCCTTTATACGAGATGGTCTCCAACGCATGAAGTCCCCCTCCTAGCTAACAGATAACTATTCAGTTGTTTCTATGCCTTACTTTATATCAAGTCGATTGATTAAATAGCGATTTATCGGTGCTTCGCTGCGTTTCATGATCAAGTATACAGTATCCCGCATTTTATATGCAGCCTTGGCCTCTTATGGCTGTGTCTGTTATTTGTGGACCTCGAGAGATATGTTCGAGAGATATGTTCGAGACTGATAAGTTCTTTTCGAGCTATGATTTTATCGTTGGTATATCTGTCTATTAGAGGTTCAAACAAGGCTCCAAACTCCAGGATAGTCTTTATTATACGCGTCGTAGTCCCAGTTCGGGTGAATGAACAAGGTCTAACCCACCGCATTATATTTGGCAGGATTCTCGACAGTGGTAAAACAAAGACCAATTTAACCCCCTTTCATTGATAATTATCAAGCGCAGTGACTTCAGCGCAAAAGATATTAACCTACCATACGGGGGATGCTTGGAACCCTTGCAGAAGACATAGCCAGTGGAATTCTGGTGGGTTAGATGAGCGCGCGTCACTAGCCCGACCCCGGGAAAAAGACCAAGAAAAACAGTTGCTTTGCCGGGCCCTATGTTCTCTCATGATTCTGCCCTGCTGTCAATGATGTGTAGTCCACCTTATTGAACCCTTACCGCGGGTTAGCCGCGACATGATATCTCACTCGCTTCCGCCATCCGACATTGGGTACTCAAGCCCATATTGATATCTGTCTTGAAGTTTGATCGCTTTCATCTGAATGTTGAGGCTAGTTCCTGCCAATCCGTAGCAAGCGGACCTGCGCTTTATCTTGGTAGTTTGCTAATTTTTTTTTTTTGGGGGGGGGGGGGGTGAGAGCATACAGGCGCTCTTCATCGCTGAATTGAGCTAGATGAAGGGGGGCGCAAGTCATCCGAAGGATGACATACTGTGCGCAAAAGAGGAAAGAAGAGAAGATGAGGTAGATAAAAATCCTCCCAGTTGTCTCTGGTAGGGAGATGAGGTGCTGGGATGTGTCGTTGGAGGTGATGATGGATGTAGGTCATTGGCGGGTGAGAAAGAAGGTGTGTTAGCTGGGTAACTGCTCGACCACAATCACATACCTATAATCCATCAACCAGCCATCTAGTTGGCCATCAAGAAAACCTCTACTCTATGAGCCTTCAAGACACAAATCTACTTCCTGGTAACGGAGAGACGTCAGCTTTCCCGCCCTTTTAAACTTCCCCACATCCAATCCGGTCCTGGGGCTATCCTATCTGGTGCTGCAGTTATTCTATCTACTCTTGTAGTTAGTCAATCTACTACAATACAGCCGAGGCCGCTTTAAAGCTCTCAAACCCTCAAACTCCCAAACACTCTGCCACCAATCATCCACTTAGACACGAAATCTCACTCGAATAACGCACCTGCAGAAGAGGACAGGGGATCAGAAAAGGAGGCAACTAGACAGAGCTAGAATTCCCCTCCACCCCACATCAAGGAGATAATCTAGCCTTACGTTACATTTTTCTGTGGACGGTGATGGGAAGCATTTCATCTGCCTAAAATGGCCCCGGAATATAACCCTGCAAAGAG